TTTCATCACTAAAGTCTGAAACACCGTCACTTCAGGAGAAATCTTCCCTGCTCTGCAAATGGCCTTTAATTTATTCTTAGAGGTGATGCTTTGTGGATTTTTGAGAAATACAAGTTTTTCTTTAATAACTACATTTATCTATTGATAAAAACTAGCTTTAATTTAAGGTTTGAATCAGTATTTAATGTTTAATTAACAAATTTGTGTTATTTTATTGTGTTTTTAATTTTATTTGTTAAAAATTATTTATTATATTGGGGGCGAGGCAGTGGCGCAGTAGGTAGTGCTGTCGCCTCACAGCAAGAAGGTCGCTTGGTCGCTGGTTCGAGCCTCGGCTCAGTTGGTGTTTCTGTGTGGAGTTTGCATGTTCTCCCTGCGTTCGCGTGGGTTTCCTCCGGGTGCTCCGGTTTCCCCCACAGTCCAAACACATGCGCTATAGGAAAATTGAGTAGGCTAAATTGTCCGTAGTGTATGAGTGTGTGTGTGAATGTGTGTGTGGATGTTTCCCAGAGATGGGTTGCGGCTGCAAGGGCATTCGCTGCTTAAAAACTTGTTGGATAGGTTGGCGGTTCATTCCACTGTGGTGACCCCGGATAAATAAAGGGACTAAGCCGTTAAGAAAATTTATGAATGAATATATATATATATATATATATATATATATATATATATATATATATATATATATATATATATACATACATACACATACATATATACATGTATATATATATATATATATATACACACACACACACACACACACACACATATATATACATATATATGTATAAATTATATATATATATAATTTTTTATGTAATTCAAAAAAATAATTGTTAAAAATTGTTTTCATTTTAAGGCTCAGATTCTATCTCAGTAACTAATAAATCAATGATATTTAATCTCAAATCAAAATAATACGAGCATGTAATTCTGCATAACTCAATCACAGTCACATTTGCACCAAAACACTGTATTGTTTGTTATTATCGCAGGCGTGTGTGTGTGTGTGTGTGTGTGTAAAATCGTGCGAGCATATGGACTCAAAAAGGCTTCGCGTTCCTCTCTTTGTTTTTCAACATCCGGGTTTCCCTGCTGCGAAATTCCCAAATCCTACTACGGCGAGTACGCGCATCATGAATATTAACGACACCCTGCTGACGTCACACTCGTAGCATCCATTCGCGCGGTCGATTAAGTATTCATGAGCCAAGCCTGACTGCAGCTCATCCAATCAGCACGCACTCGTAGTAAAGCGTCACGTCGCGTAATTAATATTCATGAGCGGATCCCTGGCCGTAGTATACGTGGAATCTCGGTTTCCCCGCTGGCTGCGTTTGGCTCTCCGAAGCCATTTTGGACTCAGTTCAGTTCGGTGCGGGTCAGAATCCGGGCGACCAGAAGCTGCACAGGCGGAAAGGCTCTGCAAGACCTGCCCTGAGATTTGGTTGATTATTTGGGGGGCGTCAGTGTGGATTATCCGCCGTTCCTGATGGCTTTAAATCGGGCTCAGGTTTGACTGAGAGCCGCTGGTGTGGACATCAGGCCGACGGTCACTCGGGCTCCAGCGCGCGCGTGTGCGTGTGGTGTGTGAGAGTGTGTGTGTGTTTTTCAGTGAGTGAGTGCGTGTGAGTGTGTGATCGGTTTAAATGTGTGCGAGGCAGAGGACGCCGAACAGGAGTAAATCCGGGCTGTTTTTGGTCTGATTAAAGGAATATGTTCGCTTCTCTGCTCACTTTGGCACTTCTTCTGGCAACTTTCGCTGCAGGTGAGACAATTTAACAATTATTTCTGAATATAGCCGCTGTTTCTGTGGGATTTCGTGTTGTTAAAATGCTCCTGAAGCGTGTTTGCTGCTCGTTTTGAACGCGTCAGATTTATTTGACCGTTAAAAATCAGTGCTGAAGTGTGTGTGTGTGTGTGTGTGTGTGTGTGTGTGTGTGTTAGTATTAGAGTGAGTGTTTTGTCGACGTGAATGAGTCACATTCATTCAGAAATACAAATACTACTCGCTGTATTCAGCAATAACTCACTGCTGTTGAAGCAGATTTGTTCGATTAAACATTATTAAATCAAGAAACATTTTGCTTGATAAGTCGTCTGAAAAATTAAAGGGACAGTTCACCCCCCGAAAACCCAACGTTACTCACTATTTACTCGCCCTCAAGTGGTGTTAATAATGTTAAGTGGTACATTGTCTGTCTATCTGTCTATCTATCTATCTATCTATCTATCTATCTATCTATCTATCTATCTATCTATCTATCTATCTATCTATCTATCTATCTATCTATCTATCTATCTGTCTATATATGTCTATATATGTCTATATATCTGTTTATATATGTCTATATATCTGTTTATATGTCTAATTATGTAGCTATCTATACGTGCTTATTTTTATCTGTCTATTAATTTGTGTATTTATTCATTATTATACTCTTATCTAAATGTTTATATATATATTTTTCACTTATTTATTGTTTTGGAACTGATATTCATTCATTTCTTTAGTAGTTAAAACCCTACACTTTAAGTCAATAGACAACATTCTTCAAAATATCTTGTGTTTAAACGGATGACAGAAAAAAAACTCTTGAGCAAGTGTGAGTAAATGAAAACAGTTGTTTTTTTTGGTGTACTTCCACTTTAAGTGAGTTTATCCTTAAAATATGAATCTCAGCATTTTGTTTTTATCAAATAAATAACAATCAGTCAACTTTAACACATTTTAATTTCTTGTTTAAAGCTCAAACTCGCTTAATTTAAGTGCTTTCATGCTCATTTTGCTTCTTGATCTTCATTTTTTTAACATTTGTGCTCATTAAACCAAACTAAAACCTGAGGAAGAGGATAATCATGTAGTTTTTGCAATGATGTTAAATGTAAATATTGCTTTCTGAGGGTTGTGTTTATAGTTGTGTGTGTGTATGTGTCTGCTTTGGCTTTGTTGTGTTGGAGGTTTTGGGGGGGGGGGAGGGTGGTGAATCTATACAGCTCAATTCTCATTGAACACCATTTAACATGCCAGTGTGCTTTAATAAACAATCTCTCAGTTAACAACACGCATGCTGTCAGAGATGTGCATGCATTGCTTTTTATTTCAGAGCAAATGTCTCAGTGCTGGTGTGTGTAATTATGATGAGCATGTTGCAATTTAGTGTCCGGATTACATAAAAAAAAAAAAAAAACTTAATGTGCTTTTATGCACAAAGAAAGCATGCTAAAGTCAATTAAAGTGCCTGCTGTAACATGTATTTGTAAATATTAAAATTGAATGCATTTTCTAAGCTGTGCTTGTTAAAATATGCGCTTTAATAAACAATCTCTCAGTTAATAACCCACATGCTCTCAGAGATGTGCATGCATTGTTTTTATTTCAAAGTAAATTTCCCAGTGCTGTTGTATGTAATGTGATGAACATGTTGCATTTTAGTGTCCGGATTAAGTAAAAAAAAATCTTAAAGTGCTTTTATATACAAAGAAAGCATGCTAAATTCAATTAAAGTGCCTGCTGTAACATGTATTTATGTTGAAATTAAAATTAAATGCATATTCTGAGCTGTGCTTGTTATAATATGCGCTTTAATAAACAATCTCTCAGTTAATAACCCACATGCTCTCAGAGATGTGCATGCATTGTTTTTATTTCAAAGTAAATTTCCAAGTCCTGGTGTATGTTAATGTCATTAGCATGTTGCATTTTATTGTCCGGATTACTTAAAAACACTTACAAAGTGCTTTTATATACAAAGAAAGCATGCTTAATTCAATTAAAGTGCCAGTTTTATTGTTTCAAAGCATTTATTTATGTAGAAAATAAAACCAACTGCATATTCTGAGCTGTGCTTGTTAAAATATCTGTTATACAGCTCAATATCATGCAGGATTCACATTAAACACCGTTTAACATCACAGTGTGCTTCAATAAATAATCTCTCGGTTAGTAATGCACACATTGCCAGACCTGTGGATGCATTGCTTTTATTTTAGAGCAAGTGTCTCAAAGCTGGTGTATGTAAATGTGATGAACATTTTGCATTTAAGTCTCTGGATAAAGTACAAAAATCTTAAAGTGCTTTTATATACAAAGAAAGCATGCTAAATCCAATTAAAGTGCCTGCTGTAACATGCATTTATGTTGAAATTAAAATTAAATGCATATTCTGAGCTGTGCTTGTTAAAATATGCGCTTTAATAAACAATCTCTCAGTTAATAACCCACATGCTCTCAGAGATGTGCATGCATTGTTTTTATTTAAAATTAAATTAACATCATAGTGCACTTTAAAGGGGTGGTCCACTACGATCTCATATTTTAAACTTTAGCTGATGTGTAATGTAGCTGTGTGAACATAAACAACATCTCTGAATGTAAAAACTTCTAAGTTCAATGCAAAGGGAGACCTTGGTTTTAACAGAGTTAGCTTAGCAAAGCCTACAATGAACAAATTTTGGGGACTACAAAAAATACTTCCGCCCCCTGTGACATCACAAAGGTTTGTTTACTGCGCATACACACTACACAGCTAAGTGGCCAGAGGCGCTGTAACATTTTAGGAGAGATGAAGCTAAAAACACGGCTGTTTCCACAGAGCTTCGTCTGTTTCTGTATTTGGGCTGCCAAAGCACACGACACAAAGACAGAAGTGCTTACAGGTCAATATTAATTATGTTCCAGAGAATTATAAAACACACAGCAAGCATGATTTGACAAAACAGCTCCAGAATCTCTCCCAGTTCAGTGCTGGATTCGGCTAAAATCTCCTCAAAGCAGAAGCTGTGCGCTACAACCTGTAAGTGTTTTTATTTGCTGAAATTGATCATGACATGTACAGTGTCTAGCGTTAACCGTATGCTGTAGCAACGATGTAAACAATGGCAAATGCTGCTTTGCGGGCAAATGATTTAGCTAGAAACTCATATTTATCAGTCAAACTGCTGTAAACACACACACACACACTCCACCAGCACGTTCGTGTCTCTTATGTGTGTGCGTGACTGCATTGATTTCCTTCAGGCAGCTTTTCCATGCGTTTCACATCTCAGATAATGAAGTCACAAAAGATATGTGGATGATTCATATTACTCACACCTGCATATTCCGGATAAATGTGAAAGACGTCATGTAACGCATAGAGTTAAAAAAAAAATACAGGTGAGCTTACCTGACTCGTGATAGCAGCAGAATAATAAATCAAGGCTCACACAGGAGGCATCCCACATCTTGTGCTTTATTCTTCTGTCACGATGTTTCAGAAAATAACTTAATCTGAGCATCAGAGAAAAAGAAAAAAAAACTCTCGTGCACATGCGCTTGTTAAAGAAAGTTCACACATTCACACACACACACATGGATGCACACACAATGGCAAACGCTCTTAAAGGAGCCGCACCCTATTTTCACTCGTTACAGACACATGTCAGATTTTATTTTAGAGAGCAGGCAGGAGGTTGACTGATTGTTTACACAGCAGAAAAGCGCGTGCTTTTACGGGCGTGACGTGGAGCCGATCTGCGAATCGCAGCACATTTTGACGATGACCTGAAAGTGCTTGATTTCCAGACATATGAATTCAGGGCCAGGGGTCTGTTCTTCTTACCTCGCTTAAAAGATGATTTGGCAGATCCTGGATCTGTTCATCTTGATAACTGATCTCTGGCCAATTTGGTTCTTCAAACAATTTCTCTAATCAGATTAAAATGTCTGGATGAACTTATCTGAGATTGCTGCGTGTGTGAGCAAGGACAGATCTATCGGTCCTCGAAACCATGATCAGCAATGCAACGATTGGCTGACGGCACAGCAGCGTAATGACATGATTAATATTCAATTATCCGTGTGAGCAAAATTACATCAAATTCATAGTAAACGGTTTGTTAAATATGATATGCAATAACTTGTTGTGGGCTACATGCTTTACAGTTTCATGTGTCAAGAGGATTTAGCTTTTTATTTAGTTTTACAGTTAGAGCGAATTTTCTTTATTATAGTAGCTATAGTAGTATTATAGTAGCCAGTTTCTGTAAAGAATAAATTAAAATTAATTTTGCATCACAAAAGCATTTTGATATTGGTAAAGATGTCTGCAACTTTCGATAAAGCATCAAATCACCATGATATTTACTGTTAAAACATGTTTATGATTGCATAAATTTATTATTGCTTTATAAAAAAGTCGCATATCGTGCATGTCTATTATCATACACAAATTGCACTAAAGCTATTTTACTTGTTTGTATCTAAAAAGTTCATATAAATACATTCTCTTTAAACCACCAGATGGCAGTCTCTGCACTTTTATATACTTTTATTTATATATATATATATATATATATATATATATATATATATATATATATATATATATATATATATATTTTTTTTTTTTTTTTTTAACTTTTATATATGTGTATATAGTTAAAAAATATATTTACTATTTTCCCAAGTGTATATAGCTTCTACTGTTAAAAAATATCAGGATTCGGTACATACTTTCAGTATTACCTTACCTTAAACTGACCCAATCTAATCCTGTTTACATGAAATAAACCTGCTCCTGAGCAGGTTTGAGCTGCTAGAACTGTTGCTATGACAACAAATCTTAGATGAGTTTTGAAGAACGAAACGATCGTGGATCTTGTCAAATCGTCAATAACCAAATCCAGCTAACTGAGGAATCCACGTACGAAGAACAGACCTCTTGAAAACAAACAAAGGTCCTTGATAGTGCTTGAGTTCAAAGTTTAGGTGTTGTTTCATCTATT